CAATCGCAATATTCACATGACACTTACATTAGTAATTTATACATAATTTATGTATAACATATGTTTTTGGACTAAGTCTCTTCATATCTTGCTATTGATTATATTTATGAAAACTGAAGTTCAACAAGATTTAAAGGACTTCACATTCCCCAGCCTTGTTTTATGACACAGTAATTGAAGTGGTAGAGCACAAACTGTTCTAATAATTAAGTTAAATATAAACCAGTGATGAATATATTACTTATACACATAAACATTGCTTAATAAACCTGATTTTTATAAATCAACTTTATAAATCAAATTTTATCAATGCAATAAAGTTATTACTATGGAAATTCCATTATTCTGAAAATTCTGTTCTATTGTTTTCTTTCAACTTAAATAATTAACAATTTAGAACAGGATAATGCAGAACTCTGTCCAAGGTTGACTGATTAGCCTGGAACTATTTGGCTGAGTCCCCTTTATGGATTACTGCCTTGTCGTGGCGAAGGGGCTTGCGTAACTCAATGAAGCTATAAGCTATGCCGTGCAGGGCCACCCAAGATGGACAGGTTATAGCAGAGAGTTCTGACAAAATGTGATCCACTGGAGAAGGAAATGGTAAACCACTCCAGTATCTTTGCCATGAAAACCCCATGGACAGTACTAAAAGAAAAAAGATATGACACTGGAAGATGAGCCCCTCAGGTCGGAAGGTGTCCAATATGCTACTGGGGAAGAGCAGAGGGCTAGTACTAGTAGCGCCAGAAAGAATGAAGCGACTGGGCCAAAGCCAAAAGGACGCTCAGCTGTGGATATATCTGGTGGTGAAAGGAAAGTCCGATGCTGTAAAGATTTTTTCTCCATAGGAACCTGGAATGTAAGATTCATGAATCAAGGCAAGCTAGACGTAGTCAAAAAAGAGATGACAAGACTGAACATCGACATCCTAGGAATCAGCGAACTAAAATGGACAGGAATGGGTGAATTTAACTCAGATGACCATCAGGTATACTACTGTGGGCAAGAATCCTTCAGAAGAAATGGAGTAGCCTTCATAGTCAATAAAAGAATAGGAAAAGCAATACTGGGATACAATCCCCAAAATTACAGAATGATCTCAATTCGAATCCAAGGCAAACCATTCAATATCACAGTAGTCCAAATCTATGCCCCAACCACTGGTGCTGAAGAGGATGAAATTGACCAGTTCTATGAAGCCCTACAGCACCTTATAGAATTAACACCAAAAAATGATGTCCTTATCATCATGGGGATTGGAATGCTAAGGTAGGAAGCCAAAAGATAACCGGAATAACAGGCAAGTTTGACCTTGGAGTACAAAATGAAGCAGGGCACAGGCTGATAGAATTTTGTCAAGAGAATACGATGGTCATAAAAAACACTCTTTTCCAACAACCCAAGAGATGGCTCTACACATGGACATCACCAGACGGTCAACATAGAAATCAGATTGACTATGTGCTCTGCAGCCAAAGATGGAGAAGCTCTATACAGTCAGTAAAAACAAGACCAGGAGCTGACTGTGGCTCAGATCATGAGCTTCTCGTTGCAAAATTTAGGCTTAAATTGACAAAAGTAGGGAAAAGCACTAGGCCACTCAGGTATGAACTAAATCATATTCCTGATGAATATACAGTAGAGGTGACAAATAGATTTAAGGAATTAGATCTGATAGACAGAGTGCCTGAAGAACTATGGATGGAAGTTCGCAACATTGTACAAGAGGTAGCAACTAAAACCATCCCAAAGAAAAAGAAATGCAAGAAAGCAAATGGCTGTCTGAGGAAGCTTTGCAAATAGCTGAGGAAAGAAGGGAAGCGAAAGGCAAAGGAGAAAGAGAAAGATACACCCAATTGAATGCAGAATTCCAGAGAGTAGCTAGAAGAGATAAAAATGCCTTCTTAAATGAACAGTGCAAAGAAATAGAAGAAAACAACAGAATAGGGAGGACCAGAGATCTCTTCAAGAAAATTGGATATGAAGGGAACGTTTCATGCAAAGATGGGCATGATAAAGGACCAAAATGACAGAGACCTAACAGAGGCAGAAGAGATTAAGAAGAGATGGCAAAACTACACAGAAGAACTATACAAGAATGAGCTTAACATCCCAGACAACCACGATAAGACATCCTAGAATGTGAAGTGAAATGGGCCTTAGAAAATCTGAGCAACAACAAAGCTAGTGGAGGTGACAGTATTCCAGCTGAGCTATTCAAAATCTTAAAAGACGATGCAGTAAAAGTGCTACACTCAATTTGCCAGCAAATTTGGAAAACTCAACTGTGGCCACAGGATTGGAAAAGGTCAGTTTACATTCCAATTCCAAAGAAAGGCAATGCCAAAGAATGTTCAAACTATCGCACCATTGCACTCATTCCACATGCTAGTAAAGTTATGCTTAAAATCCTACAATCTAGACTCCAGCAGTATGTGGATCGAGAACTACCAGAAGTACAGGCAGGATTTCGAAGAGGCAGAGGAACTAGAGATCAAATTGCCAACATACGCTGGATCATGGAGAAAGCTAGGGAGTTCCAGAAAAACATCTACTTCTGCTTCATTGACTATGCAAAAGCCTGTGATTGTGTGGATCACAACAAATTGTGGCAAGTTCTTAAAGAGATGGGAGTACCAGACCATCTCATTTGTCTCTTGAGAAACCTATATGCGGGTCAAGAAGCAACAGTGAGAACCGAACACGGAACCACTGATTGGTTCAAAATTGGACAAGGAGTCCGGCAAGGCTATATACTGTCGCCCTGCCTATTTAACTTATATGCAGAGCACATCATGAGAAAGGCAGGGCTAGATGAATCAAAAGTTGGAATTAAGATTGCCGGGAGAAATATCAACAACCTAAGATATGCAGATGATACCACTCTAATGGCAGAAAGTGAAGAGGAACTAAAGAGCCTATTGATGCGGGTGAAGAAGGAGAGTGCAAAAGTTGGCTTGAAACTCAACATTAAGAAAACCAAAATCATGGCATCCGGCCCTCTCAATCCTGGCAAATAGATGGGGAAGAAATGGAGGTAGTGACAGATTTTATTTTTCTGGGCTCCAAGATCACCTCAGATGGGGACTGCAGCCAAGAAATTAAAAGACGCTTGCTCCTGGGGAGGAAAGCTATGGCAAATCTAGACAGCATTCTAAAAAGCAGAGATATCACCCTGCCAACAAAAGTGCGTATAGTCCAGGCCATGGTTTTCCCAGTTGCAATATATGGGTGTGAAAGTTGGACCATAATAAAGGCTGAGCGCAAAAGAATTGAGGCCTTTGAACTATGGTGCTGGAGAAGACTCCTGCGAGTCCCTTGGACTGCAAGGTGTTCAAACCGGTCAGTCCTAGAAGATATCAACCCCGACTGCTCTTTAGAAGGCCAGATCCTGAAGTTGAAACTCAAGTACTTTGGCCACCTAATGAGAAGGAAGGATTCATTGGAGAAGAGCCTAATGTTGGGAAAGATTGAGGGCAATAGAAGAAGGGGACGACAGAGAATGAGATGGCTGGATGGAGTCACTGAAGCAGTAGGTGTGAATTTAAATGGACTCCAGAAGATGGTAGAGGACAGGAAGACCTGGAGGAACGTTGTCCATGGGGTTGCGATGGGTTGGACACGACTTCGCAATTAACAACAACAACAACAACAATTTGGCTGAGTAAATAACAATTATCAGCAATTCTAATACCTCACTGAATCCCCTTGCTAAGCTTATTAACAAAATAACTTGTTATATACTGAATGAATTATTATAAATATAAAATGTAATAACTAAAAGAGCACTGTAAAACATTACTACAGATATTAACCAAATATATCCTATTCTTTAGATTAATATATTTCTTCAAATGATGGTTAGCAGATTTTACATTTTTAGATTTTACTTCCAAACAATATTTGCCATAAATCATACTGTTCCAGAACTGTCCAGATTATGCCTACAGAAAAGTCTATTGGTAGAGCAATCTTGAAGGTGACTGTTCTCTTAGGCTATGGCATGAAAGCTTTGATAGGGGGAATCTGGCCACTAGTTCTGAGAATTCTGTTGAATAATAATTAAGACTCATTTTGTAGGGCAGATGGGTAGCATAATAATTTAATAAATTAAAGCAGGTACAAAGACAAATAGCAATATGGGCTTCTCTCTTTAAGAAGTTGGAGCCTTGGGCCTGCTTCACTATTTTTTGAATCTGGCTTTCTGCTATATACTACCTACTAGAACTGTTTTTGGTTTACTGACTTATGATGGGAATCAGAGGGACAGAAAAGATCCTGGGCAGCTACTAGTCCAAAATGGATGTGATGGCGCATACTTCTGAATATCATTTGCTTTGATGAACAAGAATAGTAACAATAGTGCTTAGACTTACGTACTACTTCACAGTGCTTTATAGCCGGCTCTAAGTGGTCAGCATATTGCCCCCAACAATCTGAATCATTTTACCAATCTCAGAAGGATGGAAGGCTGAGTCAGCTTTGAGCTGGTGAGAATCAAACTGCTGGCAGTCAGCAGAATTAGTTCGCAATACTGCATTCTAACCACTGCACCACCACGGCTCTTCAAATAATGTTTGGCAGATTTTACATTTAAAAGAGGAACCCTATCCAGATATCTTGCTTTAGGGTTTTCAGAGTCCAGCTGACACTCAGAAAGCAGAATTATGGGACAATAAGTCTATAGTTTGATCCAGAAGGTTCTTATAATACAAATTGTTTGTTCTGCTGCTGAGTTGTTCTCTGTCCCTCTCTCTATTCCATCTATTTATATAGGAGTATATGTGTGTTTGTGTATATATGTATTTACTTATTTTTACAAAATTTACTTATTTTTACAAAAAAAACTTAGTTGAATGAAAAATTAGAAATCAAGAAGCAACTTTCCTCTTACACATGATTATCGAAGACATACTAGAACATTTAGATACTATCACAACTTCATTTACAACATTGTTGTTCAACGTACATTGCTTCATAGTCACGATTTCTATTACCTGTTCTTTATTATTGCTGTTCAATAAGCCAGGTTTCTTTTTCTTTTTAATTGGGCTTGTTGATGAATCTTCAGGGGAATGACCATTAGAAGAGTGTGGCGGACTTGGAAACTTCCTTTTTTGAGCTGTACGTTCAGCAGAGCCAGGATCTTTTTAAAAAGATTAAAGAATTACAACACTGAAAAAATATAAGATATTATTAACACTTGCACTACTTTTTAGTAATGGACACAATAGCATTTACCTTTGGAGATTTAAAAGTGAACTGGTTTTAAAAATAGTTTTAATTAAGAATCTGTACGTCATTTTTCCAAACAGAAATCTTGTGCCAAAAAATCTGTACATAAATTAATAGCAAACTAGTGATATCTAAAAATACATCCACCTCGGTAGAACAATATAGAATTTTTTTCAAAGACCCATTAGCAGAAGCAACAAAAATAAAATGAATTAAATACCATGGTGCAACATTTACATAAAATGTTAAAATTAAGCTTAAAAAGCCAGAGAAAGTTTAAAAAGTAATCCTAGAACTGAACTGACATCTGAATAAGTGCTCTGAGCAGGATATTCCAAAGCAGAGTGCTCATGGAGTTTTCATTTTCACATTCAGATTTAAATTTATTTGTAATGCAAAAAACATTGTTTCCCTAATATATTGCATCCAAGTGTAGCAAAAAAAAAACCTGGGTAAAAATTTACCTCTCCATTTTATCTATTATCCATCTGTAATTAAGAAGCCAAGAGAAATTAGAAAAAATATGAAACTGAAGTTAAGAGTAGAGTTATATTACTTTAAAGTTCTATACAGTTTTCAGTAACAGTATGGGCCTAGTGAAGGGGCTATATAAAATCCAGCATCACTGTTAAACACAACTGAAAAATCAATAGCTTAAAATAATTTTTTAAAAAAAAAAAAACATTTTAGTTCTGCCACTGATATAAAAGCAAGTGCTCTAGAAAGGTTCTACTGCCAATATAAAGCATACCCAGAAATCTTAAATTAATTTTAAGATTGCATATTCACATGCAAATTTTTCAGTAGTGTGTATGTATGTCAGTTATCACATCAACTCACATCATATCTATGTTTATGTTAATCATAAAATACATCTGTTGACTCTTTCCCCAACTAGTGTGGCTAGCCAACAATCAGTGCTGACTTAAACTGTTGCCTAAATTCAAGATACATGAAATGTACAGTCAAAATTAAACAGAGAATGTATGAAACAGGTTGGTTTAAAGCTACAATCATTGGTCAGTTGAGATCAGGAAAGCTGTACCTCCTAAGTTGGATGAGAGTAAGCCTTATGTGAACAAGCAATAGCAGTATAAAAGCCATAGCAATTGGGGAGGAGTCAGAAGCATAAACAGGCACATTCCTTGTTTAAGAATAAACATGATATATAAAAGTACCAAAACACCTAACATCAACTTCTATTTTAATTAAATAGCTAAGAGCAGTTTCACATGACTAAAATAACTTAAAAACACTAAACAAAACATAGTGACTTCATGAAACTTTATTAATGCAGGTAAATTATTAGAATTCTTATACTGTCCAACGTAATAACTCTTCATCTAGAATATTTCCTCAAAATACTCCTCATAATATTCTATTTTAAATTATTATTCCCACATCGTGGAATGTGTGTTCTTAGACAATTAGTTCTATTACTATGAACAAAAATTAATGACCAGCACCCCTTCATCTATAAATTTAAGAGCTCGCAAAAACAGTCTGATACAAAGCATAGAGGTATACAAGAAGTCACTACATGCAAATCCTTACTCTTTGTCCAATTTTAAAATTATAAACTATTAGGCCAGCTGGCCTCTTGTGGAACTGGAACAACAAGCTCCAAATTCTTTTCCGTAAGAAAAAAAAAAAAGACTGGGTTTCTTTAGTTTATGTGTTTCTAAACCACACTATTTCCCAACATCTTATTATGTTAGTAACATGTGGAGCAATGTAAATACAGTAATCAAAATGCATAAAATGAATAATATGTATTTTCATAATATGTATTTTTTTTCAAACAGAACAGAATACTGTGCTCTGGGAATTCAGTTCATATCCTGGACCAGCCCATTTGAGACATAACAAAATCCCACATGTGAAAGAGTTACAACCATTCCAAATAAATTAAATAATGTAGCTAAAAACAGATTTCTTGCCTATAAAAATCTGGATGGCCACTAAATGTAAAGACTTACAGAAAAATCTAGTTAGTTGCTGCTGGGTAACAATTATTCCATTTTTTAAGAGTCCAGATGTGGTAGACTTCCTCTTAGTTTTCTTTCAACTAAAAACATAATTTGCTCCAGATAGTATCCTAATTAAAAAGTTTATGAGGAGATATAAATTGCATTCATCTGGCACACAAGACACAACCTGTTCAATCAATTACCTCTTCCATGGCAGAATATACAAAATAAATTCCAATTAGTCTACTGGGGCTACTTTAAAACAATGTTTTAAAGCAAAACTTAAGTCTCTAATTTGCTTCTTGTCCACCTAATCTTGAAGATGTGAAGAACATTGATTATCTCTTTAGATTATATTCCCTCCACCACGGCTGGTTTCTACAAAGAAGTAAAAAAGGAAAATAATAGCAGTTTCTTTGTTTGTGAAGAGGAATCAATTAGCAAAAGGAAAGAAAAACCTTGGAAATATACCGAAGACACCCCTCTCTGCCTGGCTGTCAGCATTTACATCTTGAATGAAATTACCTTACATTATTTACAGTACACAGTGTAGCATAAAACAAAAACATTATTCATGAACCGTAAAGGCATGATCAGAAAAGTAACTCTTTACATTTGAAGTGCAAAATAAAAACTGCAGCACACAGACAAAAAAACTCCAATAAATTCAAGCATGTTCCTGTAGCAAAGTGCACCATGGCTTATATCAATGGTACACAATAGCATGAATAGAGAGTACACATAAACACACAATTCTAAGATTACTAACTTAACCAGCAAAGTAGTTTTTACATTTTTAAATACATTCTAAAGCAGTGGTTCTCAACCTTTCTAATGCCGCGACCCCATAATACAGTTCCCCATGTTGTGGTGACCCCCAACCACTTATACATCACCGGGTGCCAGGGGCATGGCCAAAGAAAAGGGGGGGAAAATGGCGGACAGCCTTGTTTGGCGACCCCCGTGAAATGGTCGTTCGACCCCAAATGGGGTCCCGACCCACAGGTTGAGAACCACTGTTCTAAAGACTCCACAAATGGCTAAAAAAAATAATGCTATACAATGACCATAAGGCAGAGATCCCCAACCTTGGCCACTTTATGACTTGTGGACTTCAACTCCTAGAATTCCTCAGCCAGCCATGCGTGCAGAGGAATTCTGGGAGTTGAAGTCCACAAGTCATAAAATGGCCAAAGCTAGGGACCCTGCCATAAGGAAAAACAAATGGCACCAAAGGCCAAACCTCCAAGAGTCTACCCAATTCAAGCAAGCCATCAATATAGAAGGGGGGGGGAGAGGAAGATAAATTATTTTTAATTGGTTTTGATAATTGAATTATCATTTTATCTTTACTCACTAGTTAGATGAGTGGCTATAAAAATGTTTAATTTGAACAGACTAAAAACAGGACATGAAGGCTTCTGATTTCAAGATCCAGAAGTTCCTGACAATGGACACCAGCCAGAAGGAGGGCAGGAAGGGTCTAGTCAGTGTCAAAAGTACTAGGATGAAATCCAGAGCATCCAGGAATTTATCAGTAAGATAGCACCCAAAATGAGAATGTTTGAGGCAGCAGTAAACATGGGAGGAATATCAAGAAGAGGAAGTGCTATGGAAAGACAAGACCCTGCAAAGGACATAACTTTGCAGGTCACTGAGGTGGTTAAAACTGAAAAATCTACCAGTAACTGAAAATCACTGGACAAAAAGATAACACTTGATTATAGCAGCACAATAACAGGCACTAAGAATCAGATCCATAAAACAGGGATCTACCACAACAGACAGAACCCAAGATGCAGATTGTGCAGAGAGGCCTCAGAGGAATACATGGCAGCAATGTGTAAGATGCAAGCAGGAACAATACAGACTGAATAGCAAAATCTAGGAGCCAGCATTATATGTAGAAACATCAGCACAGTGTATGGACTAGACCATGGGTGGGCAACCTGTGACTCCGGAGCACATGTGGCTCTTTGAGCCTTCTCCTGCGGCTCCCAGCCTCCTCCGCCATTTGCAGAGAGAGAGGCAGAGGAAGAGAGAGGCACTTGCACTTCCCTTCTCCCTCCCTCCCTCCCTCCCTCTCTCTCTCTCTCTCTCTCTCTCTCTCCAGGAAGCAGCAGCAGAGAGAGAGAGAATGAGAACTCATGTACATCAGCCTCTATTTTTTTTTAATTAAACTCTTCAATCAAGCTCTCGCCCCCTCGTGTGTGCGCGCACACACACACAAGTTTTGCGGCTCCCAGTATTTTCTTATCTCTGGGAAACGGGTCCAAGTGGCTCTTTGAGTGTTTAAGGTTGCCGACCCCTGGACTAGACCCTCCAAGTCCAGATGGAAGATTCCACAGAAGGTCATGGAGAATAAAAGGGTTAAGGTCCTGCAGGACTTCCAGATCCAGGCAGATATAGATCAATCAACCAGACATCATAGTAGTAGACAAGAATCAGAAGACAACAGTGACAGAAGTAACAGTGTCAAGTGACAGAACTAGAAAAGATGTGGAAAGTAAAGGTCTAAGCAGTCCTAGTCATGGCAGGAGCACTTGCGGCAATGGCTCCTACGCTGGCAGAGTGGCTTCAACAGAGATTCCTAGATTCAGACATCCATAGCTTAGCTTTCTTACATTTCTCTTTTCATTTTCTGTAATGTATTCTCAACTCTACCAATTCTTTTATACCTATTACATCCTCCTCCTCTCTTTTGGTTACAGGGATGCAGTTATCTATTTTTTATTTATTTCATTATTAATTTATGCTCTTTGATTCTATAATTTAAAAACTGAATGTAGTTGACCAAATACTGAGATTAAAACAAAAGCATATGAAGTTAGACAATAACTGTAACCATGCAACTAGTTCTTAGTTATAGTTCTCCCTCCCACAATAATAATTATGGCCTACCTTACAGAGTTATTATAAAAAACTTGCCTAAGGGAACAGT